TAAGTCTCAGTGAAGGTTCTAGCAACAGTATAGCAGATTTGCAACGTCTTACAGCTGCTGTCCAACTTTTGCAGCATTCCTCATCCTTTAGAAGGGATCTAAAGACTTTCAATTCTCTTTTCTTGCCCAACCAGTCATTGCATTTAACTAAACAGCAGCTTTTAGGCATCTCCACCATAGACACAGCTATAATCTTTCCCCCCAGTGGGTGTAATCTGACCGCACCCTATCGTGAATACAATTTACATCTCATTAACATTCCACCAGTCGCGTATCGTGAAAAGGTCTATACAGCAGCAGCATGCTCCACGGCGCCCGCCATTATATTACAGCTAGCTCCACCCTTGTTAAAGCGGGGCATAATTAACTAGCATGCTGATCGCTTTTGAGCCCCACCCAAGCCATACAAGTGTAAGCCAACTTTGGTATACGTATTTATCCTGGTAGGGTCTCAAAAGCGGACGGACGGACGGACCCGCCCCGCCCGAAAAGGACGGACGGACGGACTGATGCGGACCCGACAGGACCATAAATATCCATGTAAAGGACAATCATTCATTGATAGTCTGTCTTTAAAACACTTCTATACTTGGACAATAAATTTATGTACGTATTAACTATGCTAGGACCAATAGAAGAGGTCATGTTAGCGAAAATTTAACTTTATCAATGCCAAAATTGCTACTACAGGCTGCATGAAGCATCACAATACTGCACCATCACTTGAATTCTATTTGTTATTCTTAGTAGGAGTTCAGTGACACCATTTTAATGATTTTTCTATATTATTTGGTGTAAGTCTAATAATAAACATAGTGAAATTTTATGATTAATTTTTATCAGTGCTATTGCATGCAACACTATACTGAGATACTGATTTCATTTAATTACACAATTAAAATAATAATAGTTCAATATCCTTGAAATCACTGCTCTTTAAAGATAAGGAGACCCTTTGAAATAGTTATATTGAGCTTTAGAATTCAGCCTAAAAAGGAGTTATCCTACGTAATAAATGTAAAAATTATAGTTACTTCTAGTATATTTATTTTTGTCATACCTGGGCTAGGAATGCCACACTTTTTTTTGCAGATCCCTTTTCAATGCTTGTAAATCATTGTAAAGAGTTGCTTAGCACTAAGCAACTCTGGTTGCAACGCTAATAGTTATTGTCTTCCACCTATATAAAAACGATATTCCATTTCAATAGCAAATTGTACCTGAAACTGTGAAGCATGAGAGTCATAAGCCATTGCCTCAAAAATTTTGAAGTTATCTAATAAACAATGTTATGACAGAGCATAACCATTACAATAGAATTTATACTTGGACAACATATCGGAACACTCGATCACAACACAGTATGATGTATAGGCAAACTAAAAGTCAATTAA